AACAACAGTCTCGTCTATCAGTATACTTGAAAACTGTACTCCTTGAGAGCTTGTTTGGAAGTTGCAGCGGGGAAGCACAACTTCTCTTATACTCTTGATGGAAGGAGCACACGGTTTATGGAGGGAGGCAAGTGGAGTGGCCAGGGAGGAAGCGGTCACCTGCCTAGCCAACCAGACCAGCCGAATCAACCATGATGATCAAAGGATGACAGACTTTGCAGTCAGATTACCCTTGCATCCAAAGCAATGTACTTCTTGGTGAAAGACTTATTAATCTCATCTAACTTTATGACCACCCTTCGGTATGACTTAGCATGCATGCATGGAAGAATCAGAGCTGAGTCTTAGGTGAACATTTGTGTTGATGCATAAGCAGAGGGAAAAGAGAAGAAAAAAATGGTCAACAGTTTGGGGCTTCCCAGGTGGTGCTAGTGGTAAAGAACCTTCCTGACAATGCTGGAGACTCAGGATAGTCTGGTTTGATCCCTGGATCAGGAAGATCCCCTGGAGGAGGAAATGGCAACCCACTCCAGTGTTCTGACCTGGAGAATCCCATGGACAGAGGGGCCTGGCAGGCTAAGGTCCATAAGGTCGCAAAGAGTCAGACATGACTGAAGTGACTTAGTATGCATCCATGCTTTGATATACCACCTTAGCATTTATATTCCCAGCATTCCCTTCAATTTCTTATTTAATGTGAATGAATGATATCCCTAGTTAGAAAGTAGGCTTCTTGGAAAAAGGACTGTGCTGTGTTCAGTAATATTTTAAAAACCCTTCTATTTGACAACGTGTTGCTCCTGCTAAAGTGCTCATCATTCTTTTGGTGTATGTGATGGATTTAACCTGACCCTGTCCTAGACAAATTCTAACCTGTAGAGACACTTGGTTCAGTTTAAAGTCATCTGTATTCTTAGTGAATTCATATAATGATCCATGTACTATAAATGCTGAGCACTCCTAACTGCCTGTTACATATTCTAATAGGGCTTGAGTTTTGCAAACAGGCTACTATACTCACAATTAAATGAGTGAAATCAGCACCATAAAGGCTATAAGGATCAATGGTGACCCTGGAAAAAGGTTTTCAAATGAGACAATTTTCAATTTTATAAATATATACAAATATAGATATATATACACACACACATATGTTAGTTGCTCAGTCATGTCCAACTTTTTGAAATCCTGTGGACTATAGCCCGCCAGGCTCCTCTGTCCATAGAATTCTCCAGGCAAGAATGCTGGAGTGGGTTGCCATTCCCTTCTCCAGGGGAATTTCCCAACCCTGGGATCAAACCCAGGTCTCCAGCATTGTAGGCAGAATTCTTTACCATCTGAGCCACCAGGGAAGCCCATTTAATAAGCATATATTAAATTGTGTCACATCACGAGAGCCTGAAGACACAGAATCAGGCTGGAAACATCATCAGCACTGGCTCTCTCTAGCTTTGAGTTCCATAGTTTTTAGACAGTTGCTCTTTTGTCCTCCTGCTTCTTCGATCGTGATAGAAAGACAATACCATAGTGGTGGATACATGTTATTATACATTTGTCAAAACCCACGTACTATATAACACAAAGAGTGAACCTCAGTGTAAGCTATGGATTTCAGTTCATAATAATCTATCAATATTGGTTCATAATTGTAGCAAGGGCTTCCCAGGTAAAGAACTTGCCTGCCAGTGCAGGAGATGTAAGATGCAAGTCCAAGCCCTGGATCAGTAAGATCTTCTGGAGGAGGATACGGCAACCCACTCTAGTGTTCTTGCCTGGAGAACCCCATGGACAGAGGAGCCTGGCAGGCTAAACTGTGACAAATACACCATAGTAAAGCAAGGTGTTCCTAACAGGGGCTACGAGGGGTCAGGTGAGAGAGCATATGGGATCTCTCTGTAATTTCTGCTCAATGTCCCTATAAACCTAAAATTGGTCTAAAAAATAAAGTCTATTAATTAAAAAGTTAATGTTCCTGAAGTGTCTAAAACACAGGGAACATTTAGTAAATAATAACTATTATTACTCAACATCTCCCTGGTGACACAGCAACTGTGACATAGCAGCTTCCTTGGCTGGCTAAGGGTACCCATTATGTGAGTTTCTGAACCTTGGTACACCACTGACATTTAGACTGGATACTATTTTATTGTGAAGGGCTATCCTGAGCGCTGTAGGATTTTAGCAGCATTTGTTCTCTCCACACTAAAGAGAACCTGCTCCCCATCAACCTCCAAGCTCATTCCATGAAAATAGAAAATGTCTCCAGACTGTCCAGGGAAAACAAAATCACCCCTGGTTGAAAACCACTGCATTAGGTGCTTTTGAAGAAAAATGAAAGGACTCCAAAGATCTTAATCTCTACCTCAGTCACATTAGATAAGAGTTTCCAAACTCTAATGTGAAATATATGCCCCCTAGAAATAAATTGTATCTGCTGGGGATTTTTCTCTTCATGATTTTGGCCTTGGGACCAAAATACCTGGGGACCTAACCTGGTTTGGCATCATTTGAAAGCAGGAATGCTATTCCGTTTCTGTCCAAACTGACCCAAATAAAACTAAAATCATATATGTCTGTCTTTTTTTTCCCCTCATCCTTTCAATAAGCACAAGAGCAGAGAGTCGCAAATCTTTGCCGAAAGGACATTTTCAGCCTTGTTTGTTTTGTTTAAATAAATTATTTAGGACATTTGATACATCATGACATTTTCCTCCCAAGAAAAAGAGTCTTCAGCTTAGTAATATTTTTCATCACTAATCTCATCTTAACCACTAAACCTCAATCGAAGGGTCTGGAGAAAAGCAAAAGACCCTGTTGTTTGTTATTTGTTAGGTTAAACGGGGATTTTATGTGGGTGCCTTAATTGGGTCAGATACCCTACTACTATCTTCTTGAAGTTTGAAAGCTGGGAGTTTCCAGGAGATATGCTAACCCTGATTTGCCTGTATGAGTTTTTACTAGGTACCAGCCAAAAGATTGTATTTGTTTGTTTATTTATGTAAAGAGTGAGGGCTTTCAGCACTAGGCCCCAGTCCAGGGGAATTCATGGTTCAGTAAAGACCAACAGCAGAGACAAGGCTACTGCTTTCCACACCAGACTTCTTTGGATTCCTTATCAAAGGAAAAGAGAACTTCTAAGGAAGAATTTTGAATGACTCATTCCTTCTCAACAAAACTCCTTAGTATCACCAAAAGATACTCTATTTAGATGGGGAAGGAGCCTGGAGAGGGTAGGCAGGGGGTAAGCACTTCCCCATGTGTGAAGTGGGGACTCAGTTGCTTCCACCCTCAGAGAAGACCGTCGGTTACTGGTCTCTCCGGCAGGCTCACTTCTAACACTTCCCTGGGCTTGACAGTTAGTCAAGAGTGTTTAGGGTTCTGGGTTTTATACTAGGCCAGTATGTGGCATCCGATCCCAAGAGACAGAGCCACCCATACGCTACTCTTCAAATTTATTTTTTACGGGTTTGTGAAGCACCAGGCTCACTAACTTGCGAGGGCAAGGTGATTCTTACAGTAAATAAACACATAGCATCAGTCACCTAAATGACCAATCCCTCCTCTCAGAGACCAGTAAAGGAGGTGAGTAGTTAATTCTGGCCAAGTATCAGAATCAACATGTGGAGTTTTTTTAATACTATGGACACCCAACTTTGGCTGTAACTCTTCTTAATGATATCCCTAGGGTTAAAGTGGAAGCATCAACATCAGTTTGAGGTTGGAAGCCAAGTTTTCACAGGCTATGTGAAAACAGTGGTTATAGAAGGTCACCAACCATGTGTTCCATCGAGATAGACCACTCCTATCAGTAGCACACGCCATGCCCTGTCTGTGGCGGGCAGACCAGGCGGAGAACAAAGGGTGCCCTTATTCCCTAATTCACCTTGAGTGGCCACGGCCTCAAACTTTCCATGTCGTATATCTTATTCTCCATAAAACTATTATCACAGCCAGCCTCCTGTTTGTGCTTAATATATGAACCAATGAAGGCAGCAGTTGTCTGATTCTACTCCCCGGGTCTCTAGTTCTCTCATCAGTCAGCATCTAAATATGTATTAAAAGAAACAACAAAAGTTTAAGGTTCCTGAGGGATCTGGAATAATCTACCATGGGAAAAAAATAGTTCTTATAATACTCATGTGTCTGAAACCTGGAGAAGCCCTGCCAGAAGGTGACCATTTTAGGGGGAAGTTGAGCACGTTCAGAATTTAAAAGATCCTTTAGTGCAGACAAACACTGGTCTGAACCCTAATTATTTCCAGTTAGGTTAAGAAAGTTTTAAATTTATGTTTAGAAAGACTTAAGATTCAATTCAAGAAACTGCATAATAAGCAAAATCCCTTTGGACCGATCTAGGGGGTAGCTGGGGGCTTCCCTGCTGGTTTAGATGGTAAAGAATCCACCTAGAATGTAGGAGACCCCGGGGTTCGATTCCTAGGTCAGGACGGTCCCCTGGAGAAGGGAATGGCAACCCACTCCCATCCACGGACAAAGGAGCCTGGCGGGTTTCAGTCCATGGGGTCGCAAAGAGCCGGACAAGACTGAGCCACTAACATACTCACACAGGGGAGAGCTGGAGGGGCCCTCTCTCAGGGCTGCCAGGAGAACCAGCCTGCACCGTGACACCTAGCCCTGCCCCCACACTGCACGATGACCCATGGGGTTCATAACCCCATGACACATGGATGACTTTGTTGATGCTATCTTATAAAAGATAGGATCTCCAATGAGTAAGGCATCAGATTCATTCCTGGGCAAACTCTGCCTCCCGTGGAGTCCCATGCAGCAGGGCTCATGCAAATGGGCACCTTGAGAGTTTAGCTGCAAAATTTAATTCTGATTGAAAATTATCTCAAAGGTCAAATCTTAACCAGATAGATAAGCTATGATTCTGCCACTAAATAGCCCTCTGTGACTTTGGGGCTGTTGGTCAGTTCACACATTCTTTCATTTATTCCCTGATTTACTCATGAACTTTTAAAATATCTGTTAAGTGCCAGAAGGTCTGTCAATAACTGGTGATACAATAATAATCAAAACAGAGAGCCTGTGCCCTTGCCTGGTGGGGAGACAGACAGGAAACTAAGCATCACACAGATATATATAGACATAGAACCTAGGATAAGGATTGGGAAGGAATGATGTAACAATGGAGAGGGTCCCTCAATTAGGCTGAGGGGTCAGGGAGAACCTCTTAGAATCATTAAGCTGAGGATAATTAGGACTCAGACCAAAAAGTGTGGGAAGAGGGGATCAGACACTGACAGCAACAGGTGTGAAGGCAAGTGTTCAAGGGAAGAGAGTGAAGAAGTAGTCTTGGAGTTACAAATCTTTGCCTCGCAATGATGGAAATGATGGCCCAAGAATTCTAAGGTAGGCACGAAAGGAAAGTGGAAGAAGAAGGCACTGAAAGAAGAAAGAAAGTGTGTATATTGGGTTCAGCTCAAGGCTGATGAGACAGCAAACTGCTGGCAGGATGGAAGTCTAGTCTACATGCTAAAAGGATGGATTGTCTCCTTGGAGAAGTTCTCCTGTGAACTAGTGACAGAGGTGGTGTCCAGGGCATGGCCATCGGGTGCAATGCCGAGGTAGAGAACAGGAGAAATGTACCCCAGTGAGCAGGTTGTAGGAAAGAGCCTGTAGAATGGCCCCTCTGTTGAATGGGCCTCTGGTTATTTATGGTTTTTAAGATAAAGACTAGTCCAGATGCTGAAGTCTTCAGTGAGTGGTCAGAAGGCTTGAAGACAATCACGTCACTCCCCTGTGGGGTGCCTCTGGGATGTTGGTGGTTTTCAGTAACAATATTCACTGTGTTTTTTCTTTTCTTTTTTTTTTTTTTTTCATTCTTTCAACCTACTGAAAAACATGTTAGACTCAAAATCTGAAGACCCAGGTTCAAGTCTGGCCCTGGGACTCTCTAAATGTGCCCTTTACCTTGGACATGTCACTCTGAGCCTGTGAGTATCTCTGAATTTTATAAATGACCTTCAGAAAGTTGGTGGGAGGTGGGGAAGGGGTGGTATGCCTCCCTAGGGAAGTGCATCAGAATTTCCAGGGCAATGGTTATCAACCCTCCTTGTACGTGAGAATTACCTACATTTGGTCTAGGTTAGGCAAGCTTTGGAATTTTTTTAAAGGTCCCCCAGTGATTCTAATTAGCAGAGTTTGGGAATAATTGCTCATGGGAAACATGTCATCTGAAAAGCTTGTTAAACAGACACCACTAGAATATAAGCCTGATTTCTCTGTTTTGTTCACCAAAATTACCCTCGTGCCTAGAATGTCTGACACATAGTGGGCACTCAGTAAATCGTGTTTGGCAGTATCTTGATTATAAAGGAACACAAAGTCAAAATTGCTACTGAAACTCTTATTCCATTACTTAACTCTCCTGGTTCAGTCCTGGCCAGAGAACTGTAGCCTCAAGCATAATTCTAAAATATTAAGTAGGATTTGTCTACATGTAATTAGCCTCCTTCTGAAGTTCCTCTCCCCACAGAGTCACACAAAATGTGGTCTTGATCTCATGAGGAGTCTGTATTCAGGGTATTTCTTTTGATCACTCCCCTGTGGAAATAGCAGTATCTTCTCTTTTCTACCCCCATAGCATCTTGAACCTCGTTTTCATCCCAAACCATCACAGAGGGCAGGGTAGAGATAGCCTGTTTATAAGCCTGTCTGCTCCCTTTCCATGAAGTTCCCTGCAGACAGAGAGAATCCTATTTTCCTTGTAATTCTAGCACCTATTGATGGTGAGAATGATAACGATGATGATGTCCCTGGCCTCAGGGACTTTAGCACATAATGAATAAATTTGTATACTGTCTGGGACCCACTGGGGATTTTTCTCACTGCTTTTCCCTTCTGATGGAGAAAGAACCAGGATTAAACCACAGGGGCCAACCAGAAATTTACTTGTAATCAGCAGTGGGGCAACTTCAAGGTTTAGACTTTCCTGGGACAAAGATCAAAGGGAAGGAGTCGTAGATGGCTTTGGTGGGCACCTGCGAACTGACTGGTGGGCTCAGGTTACTGGATTTTCCCAGTCTGCTTTGGGGAGGTCAGCCAACCTTGGCAACAAAAGCACCACCATGAAAGGAGAGCTCGCTAGGGTCAGAGGTGTTCTTAGCTGCAAATTCTTCCACCATGTGGTCTCCCAGAAATAACCAGAGACTGAGAATTAAGTAACTCAGTCTCCTGTCTTCTTATTAACCAGCCAAGTGATATTGGGTAAGCCACCGAAACCTCCTATGGGGGAGTCTTTTCATCCATAAAAGGAATGGTTAAAAATTGTTACCTTACACAGTGGGAGTGAAAACAAAAAGTAGGTACTACGTGTAAAACCTCTTTACAAGGAAACTCTTCAGGCGCTGTATGAAGTGACAGAGTGAGCAAATGACGTTCGCAGACCGCGTCACTAACTTAGGTCCCCCAGGGGTTTGCCGCAGGAGCTCCAGGGGCCAGGGCCTCAGAGGTAGCCGCTGGTTCAGCACAGGGCCTGAGCATTAAGTGTGGGCAAGCTGTTGTCCATGATGCCTGTCCTTTGAGCTGTGAATGGTGCTATTGTCTCCTCTGAAGATAGATAAGAGCCCAAGAGAGATACAAACTTTCCAAAATAACTTAAGCTCTCCATTCCCACCCTCACCTGCGCCCCCCAGTTGTAAGGTAATAAAGCCTCTTTGAAAACGTTAAGCAACCCAGGCCTGCTAGGGGTTTCCCTGGTGGCTCAAGCTATAAAGAATCTGCCTGCAATGCAGGAGATTCAGTTTCAATCCCTGGACCAGGAAGATCCCCTGAAGGAGGAAATGGCAACCCACTTGAGTATTCTTGCCTGGAGAATCCCATGGACAGAGAAGCCTGGCGGGCTACGGTCTATATGGTCAAAAAGAATCAGACACAACTGCAGCGACTTAGTACACACACACGCACAGGTCTGCTAGACGTCCTATCTGTGGATGCCCAGGAGGGACCTGGGAAGAATGCTAAAGGGCTGGGCAGGATCCACAATGGCCTCCTGTCATTTTTTGCAGCAGATCCTCTTCATCCCTCTTGATAAAATCCAAATTACCCAACAGTTTCTCATCCACAAGGACAATGCCACCTCCTTCAGAGAGCCATCTTTGCCAACCAGTGGTGCAGTTAGCTGGACTTTTACCCGCACATGCCTGCTAAGGCCCCACAAACAGTCCATTGTCCTTCTCCACAGTAGGAGTCCGACACCTGGAAGTCTAAACAAAGGCTTATGTTAATGGTGTTCTAGCTCAGTTCTTCCTCTGCTCTAAGAGGTCTACATTTTGCCTTTATGGCAAGTGAGTGCCAGCATAGGAGGGACACGGTAGTTTTTATTTTCTGACTTCCTTCTATTGTCAATAGAACAAAGGCAACTTTCTTTCTCTTCTTGCTGTTGTCATCATTTAGATGGGTCTGAGCCTTGCTGGGAGAGAAAAAAACCTTTTCCTTCCACTCATCTTAGGTTCTCCAGCTGGGGCATTATACAGTGGACTGACAAAAGGCAGGTTAACGAGAGATAAACAAATCAGTTTATTAACATGGGCATAGCGCCTGCACATGGAAGCACTCAGTGATGAGTGACTCAAAGGGGTTGTTGGAACTTGGGGCCCGTATGTCTTAACTGGGAAACGGGAAGGGGAGAAAGGGCACTTATCAAAAAGCAAATGACTTTTTGCAAATGAGCCCTTAAAAGAGTAGATGAGAGGGACTTCCCTGGCAGTCTAGTGGTTAAGACTTTGCCTTCCTATGCACAGGGTACAGGTTCGATTCCTGGTTGGTGAGCTAAGATCTCACAGGCCTCGTGGTCAAAACATCAGAATAACAGAAGCAATATTATAACAAATTCAATAAAGACTTTAAAAATGGCCCATGTCAAAAGAAAAAAAAGGAGATGTGAGATGTTTGTCTGGGTGTGGCATGGTCTTCTCCACTCCAGAAGAAAAAATGAGATTTGCTCCCAGGGAGGGAATTTATGACAACTGAGTTCTTTTTTTTTAAAAAAAAAAAAAAAAGCCTTTTTGTTTTGTATTGGAGTAGAGCCAGTTAACAATGTTGTGATAGTTCCAGGTGGACAGCAAAGGGACTCAGCTATGCATATACTGTATCCATTCAACAGTCAAGTTCTTTTGAGAGGCTCTGCTTTTAGGCAGATAAGGGATCGCAGGAATTTAAATATTTTCATGTCAAAAGAATTCTTATGTCAAAGTGGCATATTTGGGGGGCAGTGGAACATCCTACTTCCCTTCAAACTTATAGACCAAATTGCTATGTGTTATAGTATTGACTTTTAGGACTAAACAAGTCTAAAACCTTGCTTTGGGCAGGGCTAGGGCAGGGCTAGGGATGGAGTGTATCAACAGGAAAAAAAACAATGTACTTCATGAGAGTTGTGACTTAAGGTTTTATCTGGGGCCAAATGAGGAGTAGAGCCTGGGAGACAGCCTCTCAGATAGCTCTGAGGACCTGCTCCGAAGAGGTAGGAAGAGGTCAGTATATACATTTGGCAAAAGAGATATGTGCAATCAAGCTCACATTTGAGCAGAAGGTTGCTGCCAGTCACGAGGAACAGATGTCACCATTAATGACTTTGTGCTTTTCTAGATATGAGATGAGAGAAATTGGACTCATGAAATCTTTGCCTGAAAATATCTAACTATCTGAAGCTCTGCCAGTTTTTTCCCAGAGCACAGAGAGCCTCATTCCTAATCTCAGCTTTGAACCCCTTTCAGGGTGTGTTGAAGGTCATCAACTATAGTGGCAAATGCCTTCATTCTTGCAGAACCAGATGGCAAGCTACAATTTTCAGTTGGCAAGTGAGACAAAGTGAACACTGGCCTTGACTGCAAAATTTAGGGGGAGTGGAGGGAGCAAAACCATATCATCAAGATATATAATATTTTTAATTCAGTATCTTTGAAAATGAAAAGCAGTGGAAACATCCAAGAAGAAAATGTGTATTAAACTAGAATCACTATTATGGAATACAGGCCACTGGCCTAAGGGATCTATTTCTGATATTAATGAGTACAGACTGCTTGCTTCCTTGGGCCCCTACTTCCAGTGGGGATTTTCCTAAAACACAGCATCCTCAAAAGTCTCCCACATGCTCCTCTTCTTCCTTCACCTGTGAGCCCCTCCTCACGTGCTCCAAAACAGTAGTCAACGTTTCTCAGGCAGGTGCCAGGCCCTGGGCCAAGATCTTCATAATCATGACGTCAGGTGAGCCTCACGAGCTGCACAGTGTTAGTAAAGCAGGCCCTGGTGTTGGCCAAATTCTATGCTTTACAGGTGAAGAAAATTCAGAGAGGCCCTGTCACAGCCACAGTTGGCACGACCAGTATGTGGCAGAGCAGAACTGGGACTCACTCACCCTCTCTACTGCTTCTCACGGATAAAATCCTCCACTATGTCTTTCCTTTCTACTTGTCATTCATCGGTGGCAGTCAGGATTCCCTTTCCAAGACCTCCTGACTTGCCTCTTTAGAAGCTTCATGCTTCACTGAAATTCATCTTGCTGAAGTGGGAAGATGGAAGGAGAGGGGTCATAGGGAGAAAGCATTTAATCCAAAGCATTTCATTCCCTCAGTCTGCAAAACAGGGAACTGAGTCCTGGAAGAGCCACGTGTCTTGCCAAGTTGGCATAATGGTAACTCCCGGACAACCTGCTCAGGGGCTCTGACTCTCCTCTTTCCACCAAACTTGGCTCTGGGTCATACTGTCCATCCTGAGTGTGCCCAAGCCAGTCTGTCCACCGGGAGTTTCTCCACCAGCTCCCAAGTTGTGGGCTTGGCCCCTAGACTCTCCTCTTCAACGCCACTTGCTTTCCACTCACTAGAAATAGCCACTGATCACTTCAAGCATGCCAGGGATTTTTCTGATATTTTAGCAGCACTCTGAAAGAAAAGAAAAAAAAAAAAAAGTCTGGCTCAGAATAGTTACTGGGTTGAAAAACAAAAAGAGGGGACAGGTGAGATTGGATCCCATCTTCAAAGAGAAAATCATCTCAGGAATCTATGGTCCCAGTCTGCTTCTGTGTTCAGTTCTGAGTGCGGATCACCAGCTCTAGACTAGAAGCCGCTCTGTATGGAGAAGCCCCCAACATCCCAACCCGGTCTTTATCCTAACCTGCCAGTTCCCCTCCACTGTGGGGGCTTCAGTGACAGCCGTTAGAGTCAGCAGAGAACTTTCAAAGTTTCATCAAAATGAACCTAAATCCCCTTTCTCTCACTCCCAGAAGCTCATCAACTGGTCAACCTCTTGGAATGCACCTTGGGAGCGACAGCATAGATGAAAGGGAAGTTTCCATGAGGTGAGAGGAACCTAGTGCCTTGGACTCCTGAGATGTCCCGAGCCCCCTTCAGGGGTAGGCAGGCTCATGGGCTGCAGTGATACCAGTGGTTCCCAAACTGGCCCACCCACAGAGGAGCTTCACCCAGAAAAGCTGCCCCCTGGGGATGTTCCGGCTTATTCTGCCAATGACTGGTAATTTGGGGAAAAAGAACCAGAAGACTTGTTCTAAAACATTCTGTAGAAACTTGGGGTGGGGGGGATGGCCCCAAAACAGAAGAAATTGGTTATTCCAAGTGAATGGTTCTCAGGTGGGGCTTCCCAGGTGGCGCTAGCGGTAAAGAACTCACCTGCCAATGCGGACATAAGAGATGTGGGTTTGACCCCTGGGTCAGGAAGATCCCCTGGAAGACAGCATGGCAACCCACTCCAGTGTTCTTGCCTGGAGAATCCCATGGACAGGGGAGCCTGGCAGGTTACAGTCCATGGGGTGGCAAAGAGTCAGACAAGACTGAAGCGACTTAGCACACTCATGCATGGTGCTCAGGTAAAGGAAACATTTTAAAATATTTGATGGAAAACTCTAACCACCAACCTGTGAATTTGGCATCACTGCTCAAGGGAGTGCACAGAAAGTGAGTGGAACTCTGAGATCTTCCACTTTTTAAATGAAAGCAAAGAATCATTGTCTATGAATCCTTTACATTATGGCGAAAAAGAACTTCCTCCCTCATCCTGGGTAGTTCCATCAGCTTCACTCTGGGGCAACTGAGAGGCGAAGCTCATTAAAGTTGCACAGAAAGTCTTTTGCAGGATGGATAGGAAGTAAAATAGAAATTGGATTGGACTGATCATGAGTCTTCCTGAATCCAAAATTGAATCCACAGCAATACACAATCTCTCTAACGTTCACCTTAGTGGGTAACCAGAGCAGACTAAGGAAGTTCCGCTAAACTATATGTGAGCCATCACTTGAGCCTCCATACAAAGTGCATTTTTGAAAACCAGCCTTTCCTTATGGAGTTATGGCATTTTAAAGGTTTTTTTTTTCTTGTTAATAAAAATAAGTTTATTTTTACTTTGTAAGCAAAACTGCTCAAAATAGAATTTTTTTCCAGATTCTATCTTTGTATGCTGTGTAACTGATATTCCATGTTACATGGAGATTCCTGAGGCTGGCTGGCTCCAGACCGAGTCTTCACGGCTCCCAGGATGGTGTAACCAGAGCCCAGCTGGGCGAGGGAGAACCACCCTGAGAAACCGCTGCCCAGATCTGTGACATCTCCTAGGTGAAAACCACAATCTAGAAAATTTCAAAAGTACAGAGAAGCCTGAGGAAGGAAAAAAAAAAAAAAAACCCTTATCATTTCACCGCTTTCAGCATTTTGATTAAAATATGTGTTGTCAATACAGTAGTTCTGTCCTTTGTTTTCAGAATACATCTTGATTCCAAACAGAGCCCTGGGGGTAAATCAGGCCATCAGAATTCTGAAGACTGGTGCCATGTTGCAGATGGAGTTTAAAAGCCGTGATGGGGGGGCGGGAAGGAGAAAGCTTCTAAATATAACAAACTTCCCAAAAAGGCAATCAAGCCTAACTGAAGTCGTACTATTTTTGAATGTGGAAATCCCCTCCTTGAAGCACACAAGTCAGTGGTCGCCGTCTAAGAATTGAACCTCTGTGCCGCCAGTGGGACAGCGTGTCCTTCGGGGAATGCCACGGTCACTCCTCTTCCTTCCTGCCACCCAAGGGGTCACTCACAACTGCTACAATTAAACGTGACAGCTGGTGCCCTGGGAGCTGAATCCCATGTGCCAGTGCGGTTCCCACATCAGCAGATGTTCCCTTTGAAGCCTTTCTTTTTAACCCTCATTTCAGGTCTGTACCACTTTCTGGACTTTTGCCAACACTTCTCCATGAAACACTTTGCATATCTTAACTTTAATTTAAAAAAAAAGAAAAAGAGGATTTTATTTTGGAAAATACACTTCCATATCCTTCTCTAACTTTGAAAGGACTGAAGGAGAAATGTAGTAGTTTCTTTTTGCAAAGTTTAAATACAGGAGAGAGCTAGCAGGCAGTTTTATAAAGAAAGTCAAGCTTGTCCACGTGCAGACACTCCCTCAAGTTCATTTCCATGTTCAACTCAAGTCCGGCTATATTTAGGGTGCCAATCAACCTTCCCCAGAAACTTCTATGTTCTTGCTGTTCAAGGCCACATCCTCTCCAGAAATTGGTTTAAAGACAGACCCTGTCACCTACAGCAAAACTTCTCACGCCTTCCTCCCCTGCGCAGCCTCTTACTGACAGAGGCTGAGCGCTAGACTCCAATCGAAGCAAACCACTTCTGTCACCTACTTCCAGGCAATTTCTTTCAAACACTGTTTTTTTAAGAGCAATGGGAGGTTTCCAGCAAAACTAAGAGAAATTTACAGTGACTTCCCATACGCCTGCCAGGCAATGTTGAGGCAGCTTGTCTTCATTTATTTTTCTTGGTAAACCCTGACACAATATAATGATATCCCAAAGGCCCCTAAGTATTAAGAGAAAACAATTAAAATCCCATTAGAGGCCTCTCATGGCTTAGTATTGTTCATGACTGTAATTCCTTACTTCATGTGCTGTTCACTTCTGTTGTCAAACTGAGTTTCTGACTTACTCAGCTAAGGATGGGAAACAGTAGAAGTGAGGTGACTCCATGTGGGATGCAAAGGCAGCCTATCAGACCACACTATGTATTCTAAAAATTAATGTTTCTTTTTGATGATATAGGGAATTCATGTTTACTTTGGAAATTTTGGAAAAGATTTTATAACATCAAGAAGCAAATTAAATTACCAATATGGATCTTCTCCCCCACATTATCCCTCTAAACATTTTGGGAAATAATCTTCTGGCATTTTTTTTCTATGCTTGTAAGCACACATTGCCACCCCAAGCCCTCTAGTTAGTATCATGCTAGATAGACTATTTTTTAAACTCTTGTTTTTTATTTTTATTTTATTTTATTTGGGCACACTGTGTGGTTTGCAGGATCTTAGACCCCAATCAGAGATCCAACCCGTGCCCCCAGCACTGGAAGCATGGGATACTAACCACTGGATTACCAGGGAATTCCATTGATATATTATTTTGTAACATAATTTTTTGAAGCTTCCCTGATGGCTTAGCAGGTAAAGAATCCACCTGCAAGGCAAGAGCCACAAGAGACACGGGTTCCATTCTGGGTCAGGAAGATCTCCTAGAGAAGCAAATGGCAACCCACTCCAGTATCCTTGCCTGGGAAATCCCATGGAGAGAAGAGCCTGGTGGGCTATACAGTCCATGAGGACTTCCCTGATGGCTTAGCAGGTAAAGAATCCACCTGCAAGGCAAGAGCCACAAGAGGCACGGGTTCCATTCTGGGTCAGGAAGATCTCCTGGAGAAGCAAATGGCAACCCACTCCAGTATCCTTGCCTGGGAAATCCCATGGAGAGAAGAGCCTGGTGGGCTATACAGTCCATGAGGTCACAAAGAGTCGGACGTGACCAAGCATGTGGCACAAAACTAATGTTATAATCATTTTCCTATCACTACATTTATTCATCTGTTGTTTTGTTTGTCATTATAAAAACCAGAGAAATAGCCAAGGCAGTTATAAGCCCCATTTTACAGATTAGGAAAACAAAGCACAGAAGTGACTATACTAAAATCAAAAACAGCTCAGTTTAGGTCTCCCAACTGTCAAACCGTGCTTTTCTCTCCTGTCAAGTTAAAAGAGCAGAAAAGCACAAATTGAGGGATCTTTGCTATTCCTTTGCAAGAGTTAGAGGTGTTAGAGATACATAGTTACTCTAAGTAATCTTCATCCATTCTTCTTTCATAGATTTTTAGGCTCAGTTCTTTTCTTTATTGAGGTATAGTTGATGTACTATATTATTATATAAACTACAGGTATGCAACATAATGATTCAAAGTTTTTAAAGGCCATACTCCTTGTATCTGTTGTTGTTTAGTTGCTAAGCCATGTCCAACTCTTTCACAACCCCATGGACTACAGCCTACCACGCTCCTCTGTCCATGGGATTTCCCAGGCAAGAATACCGGAGTGGGTTGCCATTTCCTTCTCCAAGGAATCTTCCCAACCCAGGGAACAAACCCACGTCTCCTCTTTGGCAGGCAGATTCTTTACCACTGGTCCACCTGGGAAGACCATACTCCTTGTATGAAAGAAAGTGAAAGTGAAGTCGCTCAGTCATGTCCCACTTTTTGCGACCCCAAGGACTGTGGCCCACCAGGCTCCTCCATCCTATAATTATTATAAGATATTGACTACAGTCCCTATGTTGTACAAGATATCCTTGTAGCTTACTTATTTTCTACATAATAGTACCTCTTAATCCCCTTCCTTATATTGTCAGTGTCTCTCCCTTCCTCCTTCTCCCCGTTGGTGACCACTAATTTGTTTTCTGTATCTGTGAGTCTGTTTCATTTTTGTTATATTCACTAGTTTGTTGTATTTTTTAGATTCCCATAGATGTAATATCATACAATATTTACCTTTCTCTGTATTTTTTAGATTCCAGTAGATGTAATATCATACAATATTTACCTTTCTCTGTCTGGCTTATTTCACTTAGAATAATCTCTAAGTCCATCCATGTTGTTGCAAATGGCAAAATTTCATTATTTTTTATAAATCAGTAGTATTCCATTGTATATACATACATGTCTTCTTTATTCATTTATCTATTGATGGACACTTAGGTTGCTTCCATATCTTGGAATTATAAATAATGTTGCTGCAAAAATTGCGGTGCATGCTTCTTTTCAAGCTAGCTTTTTTCAGGTATATACTCAGAAGTGGAATTGTTGGGTAATATGGTAGTTCCCAGGTTTCGCACATGGGGCTAGTGGTAAAGAACCCACCTGCCAATGCAGGAGATGTAAGAGATGAGATTTCAATCCATGCATCAGGAAAAATCCCCTGGAGGCGGGCACTGCAACCCACTTCAGTATTCTTGCCTGGAGAATTCCATGGTGGGCTACAGTCCATAGGGTCGAAAAGAGTCTGAAACGACTAAAGCGACTTAGCACAACACATGGTAGTTCTATTTTTAGTTTTTTGAGAAACTTCCATACGGTTTTTCACAGTGGCTGCACCAATTTACATTCCCAACAACAATGCTCTAGAGTCCCCTTTTCTGCACATCCTTGCTAACATTTGTTTTTGGTTTTTTTTAAACAGTGTTTATTTATTTGGCTGCATCATGTCTTGTTGCATCACACGGAAACTTTGCTGCATTGTGCAGGATCTTTCCTTCCAGCACATGGTGATCCAGGGATGGAACCCGAATCTCTAACATTGCAGGGTGAATTCTTAACCACTGGACAACCAGGAAGTCCCCCAGCATTTGTTACTTGTAGTCTCTTTGACAATGGCTAATCTGACAGGTGCGAGGTGGTAGCTCATTGTGGTTTTAATTTGCATTTCTCCGATGATTACTGATGTTGAGCATCTTTTCATATGCCTGTTGGCCATCTGTATGTCTTTGAGAAAATGTCTATTCAGATATTCTGCCCACTTTTAATAGGATTGTTTGTGTTTTTGCTAATAAACTGTTTATGCAATTAGATATTAATCCCTTATCTGTCATATCATTAGCAAATATTTTCTCCCATTCAGTAAGTTGTCTTTTCATTTTGTGGGTGGTTTCCTTTGCTGTACAAACCTCATGTGAAGGGCAGACTTATTGGAAAAGACCCTGGTGCTGGGAAACACAGGAGACAAAAGAAGGGGACGACAGAAGACAATGGTTGGATGGCATCACCAACTCAATGGATATGAGTTTGAGCAAGCTCTGGGAGATGGTAAAGGACAGGAAAGCCTGGCGTGCTGCAGTCCATGGTGTCGCAAAGAGTTGGACACAACTGAGTGATTGATCAACAACAAGGTCCCACTTGCTTATTTTTGCTTTTATTTCCTTTGATTTCAGAGATAAATCTAAAAAAATATGGCTATGATTTATGTCAAGGAGTATTCTGCCTATGTTTTCTTCTAGGAGTCTTTTTTTTTAATATACATATTTTGTTTATTCATTTGACGGTTCTGGGTCTTAGTTGCTGCACAGGGAATCTAGTTCCCTGACGTGATCTGATTCATTTCTATATTGCAGTATGATTGATATTTAGCATGAGCTAGCACTGCTATCACATTATGTAATTATCATTTCTTTCGGGGGTGGGAATAATTAACATCAGGCTTCTCTGGTGGCTCAGTGGTAAATAATCTGCCTGCCAATGCAGGAGACTCAGGTTCAATCCCTAGGTCAGAAAGATCCCCTGGAGGAGGAAAGCGCAACCCA